TTAGCAACTCAGTTAGAGGGCGACTGAGTCAGATAGGAAAGGAAAAAAAAAAGAAAGAGAGAGAGAGAGAGAGAGAGGAAGGATATCTTATCATACCTGTAACATTCACCGACTCGTCGGTGAGCAAGTGTAAAAAAAAAAAAAACTATAAAAAAAAAGACTCTACATACCTACAGCCTGGCACCTACATATCTGCTCACGAAGCCGGTGCTCCTTCCCACTACGCCACCCCTCAAACGAGGACGCACCCACCAGTGACCGCAGCTAAATAGACCTCGTATGATAGCAGCAAATGCCCTGCAAGGCGCCCGAACGCGTGCTTCCCGCAGTACCCCTGGACGCGCAGGAGAGATCGGGAGGGAGGCGACGGCGAGGAACAAAACAGTACAGTAACGATACGATACGATACGGGACAAGCACACAAAAGCAGTGCCAGTGTGAAACTGGACCGGAACGGGGATCAACATTCCAGATTCGAACGTCCCGCAGCTTGGCGCGAACGCGCGGGTCTAGAACCCGCCGACGGCCTGACCCTGCAGATGATCCGTATTCTGGAAGGGGAGGGGAGGGGAGGGGAGGGGAGGGGGCTCGGATGCCGCAATTTGTTGCGCGGGTTGGTAAGGCGGTACTTGTACAAGTACTTGTACTCGTGCAAGCATCTTGTTGTGGTACGGTACTGGTTACGTGGGATGTGTTTTTGGTCGGAGAGATCGAGGCCCTATCTACAAGTGTATACGGTACAGTACAGTACCGGCACTCGCGGATTTCAAAGATATCCGGACACCGCGGTGCCAAGGTGTCCGTCAGTCCGTCCGCGTTTTTGTTTTCTTTTCTTTTTTTCTTTTTTCTTTTGGAGTGTCCTATAATAGCAATTCGGGATACCTGTGGAATTCGCGAGTACGAGTACTAGCATATACGGTATTATTATGGAACGGGAGGGAGGGATGAGTCGTTGTAGAATGTGCCGGAGTGTAGACGTGCAGTATCTTTGGGAGGGGGGGGGGCTACGGTAGAGATGATATAACTCGCTCAAGGGTATAAAAGTGGGTGAGTCCTTGTTAGAGTTGTGTATATCAGAAACGCCAGCTGGTCAAAAGGTACAAAGTACCATATCGCCGATATGGATTGTTGGATGTCATGATGGACAACCCATCCCCCCCCCCCTCCCACTTCCCCCGGGGCTGGCATGGATATTCTCGTCGTGGGGGGTTGGAGTGTTCCTAGGAGGTCGGCACGCTGGAACTTCTCTCCCGGTGGAATCTGGAGGGTTTACTTGGGTTAATGGTGTGTGTGCTAGGTGCTCTAACACTCGCTGCTGATCGTCGCCACCAAAATATTACTGGTAGCATGCTCTTGTAGGAACGGGTACGTCTGCTTCACGGGGATAAGCTCCCTGGTCTTGAACTCTGCAGTGGCCCTTTGCGCCCGCTCTGGGGTCAAGATGCGCAATTTTCTCTAGTTCCGCCACCGCCACTGGAATTCAATATCTTCACTCTTTTTCCATCCTCCTTCTTTTCTCCTTTTCATTTTTTTTCCCTGAAAGCAAAAGGAGTTAAGTTGATTGTTCACCATCTATGGACTAGGGAGAAGGGAGTAAGAGGAGGGGTTTGTTTCGCCGAGGATATGTGTTGGAATCGATAGAGATAGTGTGCTATGGTTGGCCATAGAAGGGACGGGGGGGGGGGTGTTGGAAGGACAAAGTTGTTTATGGAAGCCACGGGAGTATGTTTCAGCACTAGGAAGTACCGTAGATCTGTCTGAAGGTTGGAAGAGGATTCTAGAGATATGTCTTTTCCTTTGTTATCACGGAAGTGGGGTAGAGGAACTTGGACATGTGTGGAATTATGGAGATGGGCGCAGTGATCCGTGGAGGGATCGGGTTGCTTTTGATGATGTTTTTCTTATACACCTGTCATTATTGATCAGTTAGAGTGAGAGAACGCAAGACGAAGTACGCACCGTTCCCAGCTATCCCACTACAGCGAGTCTCTATCCTATTTCGTTCCTTTACCACTGCGCATTCTGATAACAACCTCCGTCACAAACAATATGCAGGAGGCGAAAATAGTAAGAAAAGGACTTGTGGGAGGGTTTCACACTCCCCGGCAGCACCTCGGAACCAGGCCACGCCCTCTGAAGCTCCACCTATCCTTAGTAGCTTAAGGCGGAGGGGAAACTCATGAAGGTCTTTGTCAATGAGTTTCTGCAGTGATGTTGATGATGAGGTCTGGTCCTGTTGAAGCTTAATCTTTTTTCTTCTCCGAATCCACCGGGGGAATCAGGTTTTCTACGAGCCCACAGGGCAGAAGAGACACACGAAGAGATGGAAGAAGGGTATATACAGCAGTACCATGTCACCACCCGCAGATGTGTGAAGAGGAGGCAGGAAGAAGGAGGGAAAGGGAGCGGGAAGCATAATATGCATTATACCAATTCCCCGGAATATCAACCTTTCATGAGGAAAGACCGCCGAGGTTCGCTGCTCTTCACGATCTCAAGAATACGGTGGGCCCCCGCTGTATGAGGGATGCGGTTCGTGCAGGTATCTTTAGATGTATGATAGTCACCGGTATCGTAACTATCAACCCGGAATGCAACTCTCCTGTACCGTCCAAAGTGCAGAGAAGAATGACCTATTCACATATACACTGCTGAAGTGGAATAAAGCACCGTGCCTTATCCATAATGGTATTGCCGGCCGCCCTGATCCCTTGCACCTTCCACCAGTCTGCCTATCCAGACTGGCGCGGCACGATGGTTTGCATCGTACGGTAGTTAAAGAGTATCAGGAAGGATTGGGGACTCGTTTTAAGGATTTTCCCTAGAGGGCCCTGGCTACCGGGTAAGTAAGTGAGCCAGCTTAGCCACGGTTCCATCTCCAAACTCTGCGGGTCGGGGAGCCGGTAAGGGTGATTCGGCCTACCCCACACGCAGCTCTTAAAAGCAGTGTTAGACAACCGTGCACACGATGTCACTCGTTTTGGGTGGAGGGCACCACGCGGGCGGATTTCAACAATTGGCAATGTACAGTACCGATAGAACCAGAGGAGCCTTGAGGTTTCCCGAGTAGTTTAAGCTCGCGTTTTTTTTTTTTTCTTCAAAAAAAAAGAGCTAAGGTGTGCGTGGGTTGGGATGACGATGATGCTGTATGGGTGATATTGCAGAGCTAGTAAAGTTGCACTTCGGGATATTCATCCAGTTCCTGAAAAGGTTTACGCTGGAGGTGTGAATTGACTTGGTGGATTTATGATACCGTGACCGAGCCTGGGAGGTCGATACCCCACTTTCTCTTTAGTAATGCAGAGTCCGCGTACAAGTAAAAATAATAATTGGAATGTGCTTGGGGTGGTGTAAACTTGCGATTCCAGTACTGCCCGGAATACCGTACAGTATATACTTTGTATCTGTGCGATTGTCTGCTTCGTTTACTACGCTCTCCCTCTCGGGGCAGTGATTACTTGCGTTAGCGATCTTAAGACTTGGGCACTTTTGGATGTGGTGAGTGGGGTAAGGGGCTGCTTGTTTCCGGTATCATAATATGATAAAGCTTTAATTAGATGATATAACGTGATCCCTTCACAGCACAGCCATGCTCCGAGTGAGAGTGAGTGAGCAATGGTGCCCCTTATCTGGGGCACCTTCCGGTTACACCGCTATGCCAGTGGTTCTTGCTGCGGTCGATCCATCAGGAAAAGAAATCGTGGCTATGGAAACGTTGTGTATTAGCTATTACCGTCTAGAATCAGTAAGTAGGGGGGTTTGTAATAAAATGCTGGCCTGTGTACAGTACTCGAGTGCAGTGCCGGTACTGTACGTGCCAAGTTGGACGGATTGGGATGCATGGCGGTTCGGTGGATTACCAGAGTGTTATCTACGATAACATATAGGGTTGACAGCGGGAAGAGCCGGGAGTGATTTGCTGGAATGCTGCCGCGCCCCGGGATTTCGGGCCGATAGGGGTTGTCATCCACCGGGTTTTGGTGGGCTAGGTGTGATTTTGGGGATGCGATGGAGAGTGGTTTGGAGATTGGGAGAGTTGGATAAATTGATATATACTAAAGTATTATAAGACGGATATTTTAAAACCGGTGCCCCTAGGAACAGAATGAAGAAAGGACAAGAATGTTCAGAGAATTCAAGAGGGAAGAAAAAAACCCCCGGCCGACCGACCGAAAATAACAATGTTAGCTACCGGAAGAACATCACTCTAACAAAAAAGAGAACCAGACCCAAACATAAGCCACCATACAAGACGACGCCAATATACGACCCATTCAGCCACCTGAAAACTCTGCACACGGCCCCACAATCCTCGTCTTCCTCAACTTCCTCAACTTCCTCAAGTATTCCGGTTCTCCCATCAGTAAACAGCATCCTGTCTTTATGAATCTCCATAACCGGCATCGGCCACATCGCCGCAACAGCCGCTCGGTTGATCCCAACAAACACGACGGTATAATTAAAATGATACCGATCATCCCAGTATTCACACACAGCCCTCGAGCAGTAATCCGTAACGGTGAAATTCACCCTTGCCGTCTCCCCCTCGACAATCCCATCAAACCTCATTTCGTACGGCTGCCCGGGCGGCACACGGCCCGCTGGCGGTCTCGAGTAGAGGTACTTTTCCACCCCGCGCGTGTTTGCCGCTCTCCCGGTCTTTCCCGTCTTGACGAGGGAGCTGCTCCAGCTCGCGGGCCAGTACAGCTTGAGCCGGTTCGCAAACTCGTCGCGTGGTGGGGTCGGCACCGAATGGCGCAGCTCTCCACCCACGTAGACGTAGGTACTATCGCCCTCCATGTCATCCATCATTGCCTCGGCCGTGACGTCCCATAGCACCCGCCCTTCCTTCCCGCGAATCCCGTTGAGCAAGTGCGCCGGGAATACCGATGTCATGTAATTGATGCTTGAAAGGCCCGGGTCGCCATATCCCTTGGCTTCGGCGTCCAAGGCGAGAAATAGGTCGTTAGGATCGAACGTTCGAAGTCCGTGGCTGTGTGTCGGGCCGAGATACAGTGTTCCCGGAAGCGTCAATGGGTGTCTGAGATCTCGGCCACTCCCGCCTAGGCCGATGGACGCACTCCATGCGTTCGGGGAATGTATAATCACCGAGCAATTGCCCTCGTATAATGCGTCGACACCGTAATATACGTAGCACTCTTCCTCCAGGCACTTGTATTTCTCGCGGTATGTTTTGTAAGACTTATCGCTATCCAGGAGGAGCTCCGGGTCGATTTTCGACGGGAAGGCCCGTGTCGCGTGATGTGTTGTTAGGCCAAAGAGGAGAAGGAGAACTAGTCCTCGGGGGAGGATGGTCAACGGTAACATCTCGGCGGCAGCGGACCGGAGAGGGTATTAGTCGGCGGCAGGGGCGGAAAGGATGTCGGAGGATAGTGATAATCCAAGCTTCGGGAGTTTTTTTTTTCATTCTCGGTGGGAATTCACACCTGGACTTTTTTACAGGAGGTGCTGAGTGAGCGGCGGCCAAGGTTTGCGCCAAGTGCCAAGTGAAGCTCTGCTGTTACACGGCCCGCGTCGGGGGGCCAATGACCCGAGAGAAATGGGGGAGCTTGCTGCTAATGGCAGGATCATCCTTGTGTGTCCGGGGGAGCTGGGAGCTGGAAACTTGGGATTCGTGATGGAGGTTGATGGTAGAGGGGAGGGGGGATATTTTGGTTGCTCTAGTGACAAGACGCGCGCGGCGGTATCATCATAGGGTACTCGTAGCTGGCCGAGTAGCTCCTCTCGGCAGTGAGTGGTTTCACAAGGCGTTTCTTGTGGAACTTGTGGTCACGCAATGTCACTCGAATATTGGAAGCTAACCGGATTGGTAGTAATCACGGGAGGTCTAGTGCGGCCAACAGTTGGCAGAGGTGGATATGGTCGTCTCGAATCCATACATGCTGGTGCTGGAGACACCAAGGTTTGAGCGGGATGAGTTCGATTGGCCTTTCCCCCGGTTTCCGGATCGTTACGAGGCGCACCGGGGTAGGGGGTGTGGCCGGGCTATTAATTCGGACCGAGAGGCTCCGAATACGTGGTAGCTTTTGATAAACATATAGCTATCCATGATCTGGATTCTTGTAACTCCTTCACTCCCTAGGATTCTACACTTAGTGGGAGAGTCTCCAGACAAAAGTGCACGTATATATTGATTAACGAGGACACAGGGAGACATAGGACTAGGCTAAATAGAGCTCATTACGCAGCCAAACAGCTTGCTGGCGAACCGTGATGATAGCCTCACTTAAGATGAAAGCTTGCTTTCAAGTTCAACTTCCTTCTTAAGAAGCTCTTTTGACGGGTTTCACCCTCTCGGGCTCCCATCCCATACCCTGTCCTACCTGCCTTGATATTATGAAACATTTAATTCTCGTTGGCCCAGCGGGGTTCCCACCTTATCGTCGTCCAGCTTCCACACCGACCCCGCTACCAGCTCCACGATAAGCGCCCAAGCTGGTTTATCAATTTCTAGGGAAACACGCACCACCCTTGCCAAAGCTTATCCTCCCCCCCCCCCCACCACCACACTCGGACGCTCATCGTACCCTCCTACCACCAGTATCACCACACCTGGAGTTCTTTCAATTCCTACCCCCGCACAACAGAAAAAAAATGCCTCCTGGCACCACCACAACCGCCACTCCCATCGACTATAAGGAATGTAGCTCCTCATTCATTTACAAACGCTACCTCCACAAACTCCCCCATTCCGCTTTCTTCGTCGTCAAAAACCACTCGGAGTCGGCTGCTTGCATGGCCTGCGATGAGGCACCTTGCATGGCATTGAACCAATGCACTAAATGCGACCTCCAACTATGCAGTGCCTGCGCCTTCATCCTCGTCCATGGTAACTGCCGCGGGAACCTGAAGAGGTTGATTGCCCAAGTTGCAAGATGGAAGTTGGGGTATTCCGTCGAGTTCTTGGAACGTGAGGCTCGGGAGGAGCGCGCGAGTAGGATGAAGGAGTTGGAGCGTAGCGGTGGGGCAGATGGGAATGACGATGACGATGATCAGAAGGAGAAAGGAGGGGTACGTGAGGCGAAGGGAGAGGAAGAGCTGAGGGCGGCGGGGCATTACATGCGTGCTGCGAATGACGGGAGGCTTTGGAAGGACTCGGACAGCGCTTCGGAGAGTTCTACTGATGAGGAGAGCCTGGACCTTAGTCAGGGCACTATGGAGGACTCGTTTGAAACAGCGTTGCAGCAGTGGAGTGCTCTTGATGGAGGAGGTTATGAGAGGAATGAGGTATGAAGCTCCCAGACGCTGTCTCTGCTTTGATTCTGTGACCTCAGTCTCTTACAAAAGTTACCTTTTCCTTTTTTCTTTCCTCTTCTTTTTTTCTTTTTTTTTTCAAAAAAAAAAAAGTCTAACTAAAAGATTTGATAGAATTACACTGATGACGTGGGAATCCTTGAAACCCTTGACTAAGCCGGAAAGGAGGAAGAGGAGGGGGACTAGTTCCCACATACTTGGCCCCCAAAAATTCGGGGCAATCATACTTCCTCTTTCCAGTTTTCTCTTCCCACTCGCCTGGGTTGAAAGGATACATGTCTCTTCACTCCCTTTTCTTTTTTTCCTCTTTATTCCTCCACAATATACTTTGTAATTAAGCGTGACACTGAGTGGTGCATTTACTAGTTGCGGTTTGTATCTTGGGTTCTAAAATGGGAAACTTCTGTTAATGGGATCGGAGGCTGGGTTGCTAACGGGTTGCGGCATCACAGCATCATCCCATTTTGTAATATTAAGGCTTTCAACTTTTAGTCTAGCGAAACGCTTGGCCCCCGAGCTTGTGCTCTTGCGGGGGCCTTTTGCGAACCAGAATTTTAGTGCTGTGGAGAATTCTTACAAAGAATTGGTGTGTGTAAAGAACTAAGCGATAAACCGCAATTCCACCCATTGCAAGCAACGGTGCTCGTACCTACAAGGCTCCCCAACATGGGCCAATAACGGTCTATTGTGCCTCAATCACAACGCAGTGCCTCGCCAGCTATGGGATACCCCGTGCCCCGTGTCCGCTTCACCGCCCATCCCAGGAGACGCCATTCTACCCTCCTTCCACGCCAGCTCTAACAACATAGCCACTAACCACATATGTAATCACCAAGCGCTAATAGCTCAGTTGGGAGAGCGTCAGACTGAAGTTTCTCTTCGGTCCTTAACAAACTCGGGGTAATCTGAAGGTCACCCGTTCAATCCGGGTTTGGCGCATTTTTTTTTATTCCCCCAATTTTCTTATTCTTTCTGTTGTGATACCCTTCCTGGGTGGCTTTGTTGGTGAGTGTGGGATTGGCCGTTGCGATGTACCGGTACAGTACTCGAGTGTTCGGGGGGGTTTTTTTTTATTGGCCTGGAGATCTGGTGTTGAGGAGGAGCCCCAGCGCGGGGGTTGCCGGCGGTGATTGGCGGATGGGCCCAGAGACTTGGCGGGGTGTTGGGCTTTCCCGCGTGATGGTGATTGGGCAGTTGATAGAGAGGGGGGGTTCATGGAGCGTACCGTACTGTCCTGGTAAAGTGGTTCCAACGGGGCTTTTGGTGAGGGATTGCGTGCTGAGCTGTGGAGAGCATGTTACGTTACTAGGACGGGGGAGAAAAGTTCAGGCGCAGGTTGTTGTTGCTCCTGCGAGTGATATATCATGTATAGTATGTCTACATAGACTCTAACTTATTTTGTCTCTAATTTGGCGCCCCACCGGCCTTTTTGGGTGGATCCCAGGTTAAAGAAAATTATCTCAAAGTTACATGGTTGGTGACATGAGGGGTAGGGAATACGAGAGGTACTGTACAAATGGTCAGGAATATCTGGGAGGATAATTGGGCATTTGCTTGGGTTCAAGGTGCTTTCCCTGCTTAGACATCTCCTACCTTTCTCAGAGGGGGTTCGAGAGACAGTTTCTTTTTCACTTCTTCTTCCCACGCAGCTGATTGTAAGGCGGGATAATGAAGGAAGACTATGCGGGCATGGGCTTTAATATCTGGCAGTCACTTTTTTGCTCACTTTTCTTTTTTCTTGCGGGACAGAAGGATGTAGTGGTTCCGGCGATAGTCACCAATCAAGTTCTGGTCATCCCGGACATACAGCAGAATAGATGATTCCAATGTCTATTTCGAGCACTCCGTACAAGTCCAAGGGGCCGGAAAAAAGCAGGAAAAAAACGGGGGGTGGGGAGGGTACTATCAATTTGTGAATCAGCAAGGCCTTTGGTAGCGGATGATATTGCAGGAGGATGACTCAAACTTGTCATCAACTTACCATGCCTATATCTGTCATTCAATAGCTAGCAGAGCTTCCATGGAAGCGGCTGGGCCGTTTCTTGTGCCCTTCGTGTTCAGCCTCAATGTGGCGTTCCAGATTGACGACGGAGAAGATCACGGTTATGGCAATATCTATAGTTTCCAGCATGAGATGCTTCAGGATCCACATCTGCCCTGTGAGGAGGTGAACCTGGGCGATTGGCTCGTCCGAGGTGGCAATGTATAGCTTTATCAATACAAGACTAGAATTAGATTGATTCTTTACCGGGGGGGTGTGTGGGTGGGAGGGAAATAGTGAGTACCGTGACACAACCACCTTTAACTTCCGGAAACATTTTCGTGACCTTCTCCTCAACCCTCGGTTTCCCAAAGATGAGGTTGTGTGAAGAATTATCTGGTGAACCTTTACCCTCCTGGGGGCTGGACGGGGTGGTTGTCGTCGCAGCGTTTGTGGAGGAATTGGGGCTGTGTCGTTTTGAACTAAAGTTTATATCCTGGGTCTTGTCGTACACGATCCTCCAACTGGAGTCTTCCGACACCCACCAGTACGTTTTCGTTCCCGGCCCAGTGTCGGAGAAGAAGATGTTTATCGGCTGTGATTCTACGGATCCAAGCTCTTCCAGGGTGGTGTATATGGGATTACTACCAGGCTCGCCGCCATCCTTTCCAGTAAAGTATTCCGCGAGAGAACGATCCGGGCCCGAACTTGGATCTATGAGGTGGGGTGTCGGGTTCAAGTATACCTTTGCAGCCGGAATGTCCCGCGGGGTATTTGTGGATACCTTCCCTGCCCCTCTCCTCGGAGGGGTGACTGGTTCAGCTTTGGGAGAAGCGGGGGTGGTTTCTTGCGACCCCGCGCGAGCTCGCTGCTTCAGGTTGCCTATAGATGTCGTCTTCTTAAAGCTATTTTGGAAGCCATCACTGTCGTCGAGAGTTTTTGAGCGAGGGAGAGGGCAGACTATCGGTGCTAAGTATATGTGCTTCTCGTCCTCCTCCTCTCTCCCCTTGCTACCGCCGCTGGAAAACACAGCGGATCCGCTCTTGCTACATTTCTCTGTCACGGGCGGGATCAAACGCCACTCAATGAATTCCTCGTAGAAACGGACGCACGCTACGGTCGAAGATTGCCTGGTTGAGAAGTCCTTGCGGTCCAGGAACGATTGTATTAGGTTTGGCCGAGGGGGAGAATTTTTATTTTCGTGGCCCATGTATTCGCTGGAATAGTCTCGGGCTTTGGAGTTTTTGGCGGGTAGACCGCGGGAACCGCTTGCCTGCCCTCCAAGGCCCTTTATGTTCTTCCATATCTTCTTGCTCAAGCTGTTGAATTTGGCCGTGCCGGGGGAGGAATCTGGAGCGTCGCGTTGTATCATTCTGTCCGCTGGATGTCTGCTTGAATAGAATATGTAGAATGGCGAGCATGGGTTTGGTCCTAAACCATATGCGGTTGAGTGGTGTAACGTTCTATATTGAAGAAAGGTACATAGAAAGGCGTTAGCCAAGTATAAATAGACGTCAGGACTATCTAAGCTTCCCCTTCAAGTTCCCACTAGACGACACAGCAGAAGGAATTACAGTGGTGGTGTTACTCGGGGACAGAGTGGGGAAGCACCTACTTATAGACATTAAAAACCAATAACTCGTCCCGGTGATAACGGTTTGCATTATTGGCAGAAAATGGTCCAACAGAGTAGTCCCTCCCTTCATCAAAGAGTGAAGAGAGAAAACACTCCTGCAACCGCTGAAAAGAAGATGCCCATTCGGGTTTCAGATGTGCAGTTGCGGGATTGAGATCCTCCAGTGGGGACACTAACGGGGCGTGAACCCGGTCAAATGGTCTGTAAGCTCCGGCCATGTTTTAAGGACAAGCGGGGCAGGAGGTTTTTGAGAGAGGCTTATTAATATATTAAAGATTAGGGAGGGAAAGTTGCCTGTTATGGTGAGGATTAGGGAAGGGCTGTCAATCGGAATTTGTCCTCCTGGCAGTTACCGTTATTTATAGAGAAGGAGGAGGGAGGTGGCTGATGGATGGGGTTTTTTTTTGGGAAGAAGGACGCGGATATGGTGATGGTGTGGGAGTTTTTTTTTCTCTCTCTTTTTTGTTCTTGCCCCTCCATTGAGCCATTGTTATTACAAGTCGGAGGCTGGGGCTGTATCCTGAAGGGTCATAATATCATAACTCTCGCTCCTTTCTATTGCCAAAGTAAAAGACCTAAGTGCCCGTTGTTGGGTGGGGGTTATAGGTGTTGATAGTAATGTTCCTTGGTGAACGAATCATATTCGGTGAAGAAGCCAAGTGGGCAGTGGACTTTAATTACAGATCGCACTGCGGGGGGGTTTGGCAGATCAAAGTCTGTAAGGTATGCCAAACCGTGGTCTGTAGGGTACACCAAACTGCAGTGTATAATGTAGAAAACTTCTATATTACAAACCATGTGCAGCCAAACATGCCCTACCTTATAAACTGTGGTTGTAAGGTAATACCTTATGAACCTTGACGTGCCAAACACCCCCTACGTTGTGATCAGGAAAAATAAATAAATGCATCCTGTTATTCGCTGAATCTGCCATGGCAGTGTAAGGACTAGAATAAGCTAACCTTAGGGTTAGAGTTGCCTCTCCCAGTAGGGTTCGATGTTTTATTCTCTTTTTCATGTCTCGCAAGGAGGATTATTTGCTGTCTACTTTGTGCCTTTTCCAGGGGAGGGAATCCTGGACCATCTAGTGGATTGCCCACTCTCTCGAGTTCTCGTGGCTTTAAATACTGAAAAAGCGCTTCGCGATCACTGACTTGGGGCGTGTTCTTTCCGTCTAGGCTATCGTCCAAGCCCAGATCCTCTCAATGGCCCCGGGAGCTAGTTGGCAAGAAAGCATCCCGCCATACGCCTCCCGTTTCTTTCCTTTCCTGGGACTTGAGTTAGCGTATACGGCAGCCATGAGCAATATTGATCTTCGTTTATCCAGCAAGCTAATTATTAGGAAGGGGAAAAACTTACACCTAGGAATAATGTATGTTCTGGGGCCACTGTAGAGGTTGATAGCAATACCGGAGATAGAGGACTAGCACTTCATGCACGGGGAACCTGGAACCGAGCCAGGGTTCTTTGCAACTACCACTGGTGACACTGATTTATGTGCAAAACATGTGTAGCTGAGGGCTGGGGTAGCTACCCTTCAAAGTGGAGGTCAATGGGTTCTCCAAGGACGAGGCAGTGTGTGTTGGGGATGTTTGTTGGGACTTTAACCTTTCATATCTGACCCTTAGCGATACTCACCCCTGCCGAGTGCCTACATTCCATTTTCCAGCCCTCCACATGGAACTTATCGACAGCTAAACACTGCTATTGAGCAGTGTTCCCAAGCGTCCAGTCCGTCCTCAGATTCGGACGGGACGGACGCCGGTTCCTGGAACTCTGCCCTGGACGGACGTCCGTCCTGTTGCCCGTCCTAACCTCGTCCCGGGACGGCCGGCTGGCCGGGCCCTATAGGTGTCTCACCTGCAAATAGACCTGCAGATGAGAGCCAGGCCCTACAGATGACGGCCGGAAGATGCCATTTGTATTAAGACTCCCGGGCCCGGGCGTCAACCTCTCGGACGGCAGTCTTTATCAAAGATGGACGCCATGCCCTGCCGTCCTTACCCACCATGCCCGGGGCGCCCAGGACGGTTGGGAACACCGCTGTGGAGTCAGCCCTCGGCAAACTTGGACCGATCAAGATATATAACTTTTTTCCTCTTGCGGTCGATTTACCTGGGACCTTAAAAAGATATGCGATTATGGGTCCCTCTTCACTGGGATTATGGGCCACTACTGCCAGTAGCACCTCGCACATGGCCTGTTTGGTGCCACTTGCGGATTACTGTCAAGCCGGCCGCAATTGAGCATAGGGTGTTGCGCCGTTGGCGTTGCAAGTCATGTCCTGACAGCCCAATTCCTGACATCTCTATTAAAAGTGCGAGGGAGGGAACTTACTGCATTGATGACACCCTGGGCCAGGTGCTGCTTGGGGCTGACATTCAAGGGGTCTGAGTTGGGGTGGTGGAATTGGTCCAGGTCAGCTGGAGAGTGGCGTGGGCCATTGCATGAGAGGCGAAGATATCACCCAATAAGGAAAGGGGACTAGGGACTTTATCCTGTGAGAAAGTATCCCGAGTTTGTTGTCTGCACATAGAGCGAAGAGCGTAGAGATGTGGGGTAGGGTGAAGAAGGGGAGGGAAAAAAAAGAATATTAGAGGAAAGATCCCCTTATACAAGAATCCCCAACTCAGACCAGTTTGTAGCATAGAAGAAAACATCCCAGACGGGGTATATCCCAAATTACCAATGGCTCAAAAGTCACTCCTTCCAGATCCACCCTCTACAGGGATACTGAATCTGTCGGGATCTGGCCCTGTCACTGAACCCTCCGGCAACCTAAGGGCATGTTTGGCTATCTCGGGTCCGTTCCTCCCCACCACACAAAAATGACCATTAATCAGCGGAATGGTATGATAACAGCATTTGTATGTAGGGGCGGAACCGAACGATCGTAGCAAAGCAGACCCTAAACTATCCGACCGGAAAGATGGCCACCGAAGAGCTTCAAAATAGCCCCGGTGATGGGTAGCAAGAGTGAGTTACCCATTATGTATGATGGTGGTCAATTTGATTATGGGGCATGCAGATGTGGAATCCTCGGGCTCGCCCCTCCGCAGGTGCAGGGCTGGTTTTCGAGACGCCTGACATTCTGCTCCTGTAATATCAGCAACCCACAATCATCTCCTTGCACTCGCATACACAAATGCAGTACAAAGGGCTACTAGTGCCTATAAGCAAGGATCTATAAATGGTAAGTTAGTTGACAGTTCTACATGAAAAGGCTGAAGAATGTGTGGGTACAGTACATGAGTTATGACTTCGCATCGCGGATCTAAGCCAGTGTATGCTAAGGTAATCTGTGCTTGTGTGTATGTGCCTGCCGGAATTAGAAACATAGTCAACTGAATTAGGTTTCTCTCTCGTACCATGCAGAGTATAAGGTTCAAGTTGGGGCCGGGAGCGGAACACTACGAAAACCCCCTCTTGCCTGGCCAAATGAGCAACGGGAATTGCTGCTTGCTGCCGGCGGTGTGGGCTATATCCTCAAATGCAGTAGGCCGTAGAAGCCAGGTTACAGCTTCCTAGCTACGGTAGGTGAGAGGGAAAAAAAATGCTTGTTAGAAACCGCAACACCCCTATTTGTGCTTTATTTAGGGGATCCTAACATTTCGTCAGTAAGCAGGATAGATCGTAGTGCCTAAAGCAGATAGGGTCAGGCGTTAAAAGTGAAAAAGAAAAGGTATCAAAGATCTCAAGTTACCGGTGTTTGGCCCTTTTTTATTTTTCACTTTAAACCTTTTGTAAAGGTTTTGAGTGACACTCCCATTCAAGATAAGGCGGATCCTGGGAAGTGTGTTCCACCTCGAATTTTTATTTGTTAGATAACCGAGCCTCAAGCTACGGAGTTTCCCCACTGAAGGGGACAATAGAGGATAAAGTCAGGGGCATATACAGAGCTAACATAGACACCTCTAACTTGAAAATGTGATAGTACTATGATGATATAAATTTCTCTATATATTGCCAAGGTTTACAACACTAGAGTTTGACGGTGCTTATGCTGGGACCAGCTCTTAAGATATCTGTATCGCTGAGAGCCTTGCAGCCATATCTATGTTAATAGTACAGGTAAGAGTCCCCTTCTCTATCATGGGGTCGAGGGTGCTCTCCATTGCACCCTCCCCCTTTAGTAGCTCAATTTCTAGACAGTTCTCGTAAACTACAGGGTATACCCCCAACTGTAATTTTTCAGGAGAGGATTCTCCCTTTATTGGCGGGATTACTACAGGCTCGAGGCCCTCGATGTATACCACTTAGCCAACCGTATTATCAGCTCAAGTTGCAAACGGCAGTTCCCAAATAGGGGTCCACTTACCCAGGGTTCCCAGAGCTCTTAATTCTACCTCAATCTTCTTACCTTCTTTGCCTGTTTCCACGCTCCACCTAGAAATCGCTGCGGCTCCTGTCATATTCTCTTTTAGTCCCAGGACTGCAACCCCATCCTTAACCGTTGCCGCTGTGAAAATCTCCCAATCACCCGCTTCCAATCCCACTACCATTAGTTCCCCTTCAGGCTTTTTAACATTCTGGTTATTGTGCCCCCGGATTACCCACTCTCCACCGCTCGGCCAAAATGCTCGAACGAGCTCCACCAAATAGGTACTTGATACATTAAAAACGCCCAGCAAGTGCACCATGCCGCTCGCGTTTAAGTAACTATTTTTCACGCAGAGAAGTCTGCTTGAGCGATACCCAAGATAAGGATCTATCGCATATGCCATTTCACTAGGACGAAGGGCACGAGGGGTTCTAGAAGAGGGTGTCGTAGAGACCATTGAAGACACCAGATGTTGATCGTGCGATTCTGGGGAGTCTGTTATAAAAATAGGCCCACCGGAAAGGCAACGAGCGGCAGCATGAATAGAAGCATACTGCGGAAGAGATGTTTGAAACATATCCCAATCTACCATGTTCAGTAAGGACGGAGGGGGCAGGGAACCTATGGCAACTAACCAGGCAAGATATGAAGTTGGCCGAAAAGTATCATATTCATCGCATTGGCAAATATATGCCATGAATGACTTTGAGGAAGATTGGGATAGAAGTCTTGGAGACAACTAATCTTAGTATTCGAGCCTCGTGAGTATATTCAGGAAGGGTTTAGCACACCATCTGAGGTCCTAAACTGATTCAATATTCTAATACATCAGTACTGGATCGGGGTGGGCTGTGGAATACCTCAAGAACACTTTCAATCCATCATCCCGCAGCAAAGCGGTGTACAATATTTGTGGTACATGGGACATACAATATATAACCCTTTGGTCAAAGTACTTTATAGCTATTAAATTCTAGTTTAGCACGGTAAGCAAGAAATAACAAGGAATTTATTACCGCTTTTTCTAAAGGCTTCTTGATAAGGACCGGCCAGCCTGGCCCTGTCGGTGCCTGAAGTAAGCTCCTCGATCCGGCATTGAACATCAGTTTTCACACAATCGATACCACTCTCTGAAAGAAACCTAAAACTACCAGTTAACACGGTTTCCAAGAAATTGCACCTAATACACTTGCTTGTAAAAGTCATCATAGAATCTCCCAACATCCTCGGGATCAATCATTGTCAGGTTCCTGGTTATTGCGTTGACGTTATCTCTCCAGGGAACTTCGATGGTTTTGTATTTCTCCGCAAGAGCGCTGTTTGGGGTGATACCGTCCCAATAGCCGTGCTTGTTTCATTAATATACTGCCTCCGAACCATAACAACTATCAAGAGTACGTACCAGTGCATGCCAGATTCCGATATGTTTGATATCCGGAAACCTTTCCCGCACTTTGTTGATAATTCCTTTAAGGCCACCAGGAAACTTCTCATTTGCTTCGAAAGATGACCATGTACCACTAGAACCATAATTACGCCCAGCCTATATGTCTCCATCAGATCTCGGCACACGGCAGTTGGATAGAATGGTATACCAGAGTTTGCCAGTTATCATCGATAACAAGGTTGGAGACTGCACGATAACCTCAGCTAACCCGGCCGACAAACTACGAATATGTCTTTTACCTTGTATCCCTGACTTGCCAAGTTCCTCCAAAGCATCCAAGATTTTATTTTCGCTCAGATCCCAACCAAGCCCGTTCCACGTACAATAGGTAACTCCATCTTCCCAAGGCGACCTCTCCTGAGAATCTCCGGGGTAGGTGGAGGAATTGTTTGATCCAGTATCTATACTCGAAATATTAGTGTTGGTTCTTACCACCTCAGGTTTTCGCACCATTCTGGTGAAGGAGGTACTCACAAGAATCGGTCGCCTTATCCTGCTTCTCCTTTATTTTCCGTTTTAGATGGTTGAACACACACGCAACAGTTCCACGGGGATCAGGTCCAAATCCCATGAGCAACTTGACATCTCTTTCTCCACCATAACATTTTTCATGATCACCCATCGACCTGACAACGAGCTGGCCGTCCCCCTCAGTGTCAGACGTTAGATATGTACTACCTCCCTCGAGGCCAGATACCGGCAGCAAAACAACATGGGCCCCATCATGCGCACGCTGAAACATAGCAAGAAGGGCATCTTTCTGAATAAAGATATTCTTCGTTCCATGAAGCGGACCCATCCACGGCGCTATAACCCATCTCAGTGACGACTCAATAACGGGCTAGGATAGCTTGAACCATACTGGCGATCTTGGCCAACGCCATCCATCTCTCAACCAACCCCACAGGCTTGCCAAACGGTAACTCAAGAATTCCCTCCCCCCTTACCGAACACCCGTACTCAGTAACTTGATACCCATCCTTTAATGTTATTGCATGCGAATCCCATCCACTTTCAGGCACAATCCCGATTATATCCTTGGGAATCACATATTCGCAGGGTCCTTGGAAGACAACTCTACCATCCACACCCCCGATCCGGGAGCCCGCCCAAAGCCTAATCCATGGTTAGATTGCTAAGAAAAAATTGGGTTAGGGTTGCTCTTACCAGGGGCCATCACCGAGCCTGTACTTCAGACAGAATTGCAAAGGTCCCAACTCAGAATCGTAATCGAGGTCGAGCACAAACAGATCCCTCCTTCCTGGGCGTTGCATTTTCTCCTGTTGTACCCAGCATCAGTCGGAGTTTCCTCAATAATTACCCAAGTACAGAAAACGGGGATTCAGACCCATCCATTGTAAAGCGAGATTTCCTCGAACGGTGCCGGTGCCCATGTTCCACGACCGTCAGTAGAATACCAGAGAAGAACCGTGAACCTCTCTGCGGGATTGATTATAGCATCCTTGCTTGCATCTATTTGCATCAATGCATGAAACTTGATAGGGGAACCCCGAAAACAAGTGCTTGAAGCCCCCAAAGGGGGATGGAGAATTGGAGTGAAGTGTAGTTCTGACATTTTTTCTGCGAAGTCACTACCCTATAACTAGGTTGCGAGATAATAACTGAACCAATTTTTAGAACAAACCAGCTGCTGATGGTGTTGGGGGGGTGAAGGTACAAGTGCGGGGTGGAATGAATTGCTCCCGGACAGCATTTTTCTGCACCTTGCTTTTTACACAGTTGTTCAAGTACGTACTCGAGTACCGGTAGTGAGATTCTCCCGTACAGTACAAGACAGGGATTATTTTGCAGATTAATCTAAATTAACCATTCATTAACTTTCTACCGGGTATCATACTTGTAATCCCGAAAAACCCGAACAGTATCATAGACAAATCTATTAGGGGGCTCTAGTTGCCCATCCTAGTAAGGTGTTATGCATATTCCCCTAGTTTTGTCTCAGCTGAGGGTTGAGTTTGAAGTACCTTCTCCTCGCGTAGCACGCGTGGCCTTTTTGGCAGTTTTGGTCGATTTTAGTGTATCATACCGAAACTGCCAAAGCCGCGTATAGGCAGAAAGGCGGTTTGCTGGCACTGTACGAGTACGATACTGGAATCGTCTTTGAAGCCAGTTTTGATGCTATGCACTAGCGGTTAGCTTGAAATGATCTTTTTTCCGCATTGCAAGCCGGAGCACTGACGGCACCACACTAATGCTAAACCGCCGAAATGTTATCACAGTTCTGGTTTCGTTTCTAAACACGAGTCCCCCTATTTAATTCCACCTCCTACCGGTATTCGGGTTCTTACGGTAGGCCTAGACACACGGACTGCGATTAATTCAAAAAAATTTCACCGACCCCCGAGAGTAAAGAGAGCCCCAATCACACTCCACACTCGAGCGAGTAGATAGTACGAGTAGTTCTCCCTCGCTCCGCCGAACCGCGGCAACCCGACGCGCTAAGCCCCAAGGGGGGTCGAGAGTGATTGAAGGATCCACAGAGACTCAGTCTATATTTGGCACTCGATACTTGTAACTTTCACTTCCCATGTAGAGTAACACTGGTATAATGCCAAGCGCCAAGTACTTTTCCACAGCCAAGCAATACCCAACCAACTTATGAGCAGGAATTCCACCAAACTAAACACCTTAGCCGATCGTAATACCGGTATGCCCATTCCCAAATCCCAAGATTGTCTTTTAAACACCAAAAAATGAACCTTGGAACCGAACTGTCAATTCTTGTGGACTCAACCCCCTGAGCACCGAGACCAGTAGACCATCCTCAGCAACCCCTGCGCCGGTCCCCCCCCGCCCGGGCACGCGGGCGTTCATACTGTGGTACTACCCCCTCCACAATGCCACCAAGACGGTCAGTTCCTCCAGGAAGGTCATCCTAGAGGACCCGCCCAACACCTCTCCCGATGGGGACAATGAGCTGGATGAATTCGCCGACGAGAGTTGCAAGTCTCCTGCCCCGTTTCAGCTTAGCACGAAATAGGTTAATACTGGTTGAAAACAAAAAAAAAATTTGAAAAAAGACAATCTCTGCGGAGCGCCAATTAATATCAGTACTACTACGGGAACAATGGCCAACGCTCCCTACCGATCTGCCCCTACTAAATTGAAGGGGGCGTAAGAGAGTTGAGAGGGGTTCGGTGCTGGGAAACCCCTAAAAAGGTGACGATTTGTAGATTTGGTGAAAACTGTTAAAAAGGCTTGACTTGTATGAGGGAAACCCAGCCTTGAATTTCATACGGTAATGATTTCGGTTTAGAAGAAAGTTTGCGCAGTCTGACCTAACGTAAGTGGGTGTTATCAACAGCGTTGCCAGTGGCTACCACCTACACCAAGAGCCCACCAAACCATTGACAAATGTGGGGTTTCTTAAACAAGGCCCTTTCAAGAGGCCATACAGTGGCCAATTCTCAGGCATCTTGAAACTGCAGTCGTTGGGATTGTTCTCAAGGAGAATGGCTGCAGAATAATATGCTAATGAATGTATAAAGGTACAGTGGAAGTGGGCATTTGGGGTCATCAATTCTATTATAGGTCCGATTTCACGGTTTTCACACATCGACCAGGTGTGATCAAAGAACTTATGTTAATACCACCCAGGTCTTTCTACGCAAGCCCTCTAATTTATCTTAACAAGTGGAGTCATTGCATTCCAGGATTCCTCACTCCTCCAGACAAGACAGAGGAGGTCATCAACTTACTCTAGTATTCTATGATAAACCTTAAAAGACCGGTATTTATTCTAGTTCCTCTTAAAACCCCCATAGGTAGAGCTACTTCTCACCTTGTAGGACAACGTACTAGCCAGGATTTCGAAAGTCTGCTTAAATCTTACAGAAACCACCCATTCGCGCTTCATGTAACGTGATTAAGCAGTGCTCTTACCCGCAGGCCGCATACCCTATTGTCAAATGGTTCTGTCATTACTCTTGTAGGCACTTCCGAGAAGGAATGCCAACATAAAAACCCCCGTGTTATAGAAATCTACTTTGAAGGAGGTGGAGGTGAAGATGTGAAGAGAATAAAGATTTAGAATAGATTGTCTGTGTGGAAGGCATAAGTTGTTCACTCAAGAATCTGCCGGCCTCTGGCACAACACCACAGTAATTACTTATACCCATGAGAGGTATCTATAAACAGAAACATGAGTCCCAATATTTCATTTCTACCCGACTTCCGTCATATTGAAGCAATTATCCCAACACCCCAGCCCAACGATCCCCGAGTGATTTTGTATGATCATTTGCCATTAAATTTACTACCAGTATCATACGGGTTAGTGCAGGTATTTAGTGCCGATCATAAGCCAAACCGACGAAATTGTAATATAGTCTACTCGTAGTATGAATGATTCATGCACTTCGTTAACTAGTTACTTTTTCCTCCAGATTATTCCACAAACTATATTAAATAATCCATCTTCCTTTTCTTTGGATTATTCCAAAGATTCAAAAACACCCCTTGAACCCACCCAATACACCTGAAAAAATTCCTTCATCCATTGCTCAAAAACATAGATTCATCTCCCGTAATTCATCCACCCTCAAATACCCAACCCAAAGTAAAATTCCTCCTGAAGAATTTGAAAAAGAATATTACTTAAAAGTAAAAATACAAAGGAAAATAATAAGTTAGAAGGGGCGAGGCTCTCTTCATATCAGTCGACGAACTACGTACCAGGCTCTAGGGTGAGCCATAGGCTGTGGTGGCGGGGGGTGCTCAAACGGTACTAGCAGGAGCTGCCGGACCCTCGCCCGAGCCACGAGAGCTCCTGGAGAACGAGAAGCGGGAGTGCTTCTCGTGGGCTGGCGCGTTTCCAGAGCTAGACGCGCTCTTGGATACAATAAAAATAGATAGAACTGTGGTGATGAAGTAGAGGAACCTATACAAATGTTATTAAAGCGTACCGACTTGTCGCCCGGCACAGGGGACTTACAGCTGAATCAAAACCAACGCAGAAACAAGCCTAACCAATCCGCCATTGCGATCTTCACGGCCGTCGATCCCACGGGCAGTGCGGATGTTGTTCAGCGAGGCACGAAGTGGATTCTCGCCGGAGTGTCTGTGGAAGTTATGCCTAAGCAAACCAGCCGAAGTCACATATCCGACGAAAAGAGTAAAGTCGAGAAAGGTGGCAATTATTTGTCCAGTGTTGTCAAGGGAAAGGACTGCGAGTATGGAGAAAGCGGTGAAGGGGATGGCCAGAACTGACTGCCATAGGTTAGTATTCAGAAGTTCAGGGGGGGCGGGCTGGATCCTGGTGTACACACAAAGACTTCCGGAGTGACAACCTCCCTCGGAACCCCGCCGAAGCCAAAGTCGCGGAACTGGTCTACCATATAACTTAATGCGCCGACGAGGATGATAGCGAACAAGAGCTGGAAGAACCGGATCCCGCAAGTGGTGACTCTTACTGCTCCATTTGCAACCATTTTGACTAGCACACTTTGCGTGGAGTTATTCGGGGGAGAAAGGTCTTTAGGATAGAGGATAAAAACTCGCAAGATCTGAGAGGCTAGTTCCGTCACCCACTGTCTGCGACTTGGCTATTCAGATGGCCAAAAAAGTGAACGGGGGGCTAAACAGGAATCGATGCCTTTATACCCACTTTTCCCTCCATACTTTTTACCAACCTCATGACATAGGCCGAGGCCATCAACCTGTCTATCGCCGGACACAGTCCACCACTTGGATATCACTACGATACGGGCATAAATCACCCACGACGTCATACATTCATCTGCAAGTAGGGAACAAAGAGAAGCAACTCCTCTGGAAACACCACCTTTGGGTCCTCTGTCTCGCGCGATACTAACTACCAAATAGTAATCAAATCCGACTCACAAACCTTGAAGCAGAGTAAAAGCCTACCACACCGGCACTCTATGCCCGTGCTATTGGTCCGAAACCATGAGGCCAGTAGTGTGCTCCCACATAGTCAAAAAGGAACGACACAATGGGTCAACAAGACCCCGCGGGGTAGTCAGTTCCGGTAGTTTAGATGGTGGTCAATATGGGTTGAGAGAAAAAAGTCCTAGTAGACACGAACAAACCAGAGTGGATACCAGACACATTGTCTTACCGATAGCAGGACAGCGCAAGGTAAGCACTATGATAGGGCTCAACACAGACCAGTCCCATAAAAATTAAGTCAGCTACCGCTCAGAAACGCCCTTCAGAATCTCCAATCCTCCTACCACCATCTTTCGAGGAAAGTAAACGCCAATGCAACTAGTCTGGGTTTCTAACTTCTACAATGCTAGGCTCCATTCCGCCTCCACCGAGTTTATCGGCCGATCAGAACAGACTAACTCCTATGTTGCCACCACAAGTTTTCCCTCCCTGTTTGGCCATGCGCGGGTACAGGTGACCGGGGGGCAATGGGAGGGTTAGGAATTCGGAGATTGGTAAATTAATTGCCGATCGGTCCGGATATGGTGATAGAAGGTCTGGGGAGTGGGGAACGATTGATGGAGGGGTTCAAAGTTAATAATTGGGATTTTGTCAGCCGTTTATTTTGGCGATAGATGGTGTGATGTGTGCAGTGATGGAAGGTTCTCTCGGCTATCGCGGGCTGCACAAACCGAAAGCCCTGGTATTCCTCAACTCTCCCCTTTGAGGTATCGCAATCCCAGATGACAAATACTTGGAATGTCTGACATATAGAAACGAGTTTGGATTACGATAAAGATATTAGTGGGCGCTTTCAAGTGAGTCTTAGAAAGACAGCACACTACCCGAGTACTGTGGAAATTAGGCATGTCATCAGAGCACATCGCATCTCCTACCCGAGCACCGGTACTGATATCCGTTATTGTGCTACTCAGTAGCCTAAGTCTACCGTACTCGAGTGCCGGTGGTTCTTCAACATTTTGATTCCGACTAAGGATCCGGGGCCCGAGTAGAGTACTCGAGTACTAACCAACCTGAGACCTGAGCCGACCTCCACCTCCGTCCGCCATTCAAGGCTCGAACATCCCAAATCCATGCCGTAACACCCTCTCTCCTACACATTCTTCCCCCAAATACTTGCACTACAATGTTGGAAACCCAGCTATCACGCGCATACCCCAACACACCATGCCCAGCAGTTCTGTACTCATACTGTGCGGTGCGAAGATGGTAGGTGTCAAGACTCAAATGCCGCAAACACCCATCGACACTAGACACATAGAGTGTGATTTTCCGGCTTTTGAGGGTCATGGTGTGTGGAGTGTGCCGGAAGTGCCAGGGGGTCAACCTTGTTCACCTACAGAGTTTGGGAGCAGCCTGATCACGATACCAGTACTGTATTATCACACAATGAACTTCCAGGGGACTCATTGGAGATCGTGCTCGATAACCCTCCCGAGGAAATGAAAATTGTAATGCACCGATAACAGCACTTGAGTAATTGTGACGGGTATTGTTAACTCTCCTGGGCGCTCATGTCGTATGATATCTCTCGCGCCAGAGGTCCGACCGGCCGCAGCATGCTGATTAACCTACCATTAGTCTAAGGTAAGGTAGGTTACTTGTAACAACGATTTTACAGCCGAGCAACGCAAGCACCACACTATCAATCTCAAATCTCTAAAACAAAGTTCACACGCGCGACGCAGGCACTCGCTTTGGCGGCAGAGTAAGCCCACCCGCCTACCCGAATCTTTAGTTCCCCCCTGGTGCCCTCGCCTAATCCTGACCCCGAACACTTCCCCAGGTTAATCCACGAACCCAGACCACCTCAGTCGATAATGGCGTATGGTAGGCCGGCCGGACCGATGGCAAACCGGGGCGAAAGGGGCTCGGCAACGAAAAAAACTCAGTTCGGGCACTACTGCACGACAACCACCACCACTCCCTCTAATGTCACTGGAAACCGAGTAACTACTAATGCGGAAAGTTCAGCTCAGAAAGTACCGCAGCCGACCCAGCAAAATCACGCTTTGGCAGTCCATACCCGCGTCCACTTCCTGCGCCAGAGGAATTGTCGAGCCGATTTGCTGGTTGGTTAGTTGATGAGTTCCGGGACCGTGGAAATGGATATCTGCAGCGTTAGGAGGGGATTCTCGCTCCCTTGTTGTTCCGTGCGATATAATAGGTGGGGGATTGGGGGCCGGCTTACGATAGAAGATGTGAGTGAAGGTGGAGGTTTTTCTGTCCAGAAGGAGGCTAAGAGCGAGGTGCTCTCTTCCTGTACTGTGCAGTACAGTACAGTGTCGTAGGGAATTCTAGTATGCTAGCCGCTGCTATTGCCGGGCAGTGCCAGGGGTATCTGGATATGAATTTTCTGGGAAAGGGAGACTTCACAGTGTTGAATACGGTTCACTATCCAGGGTGCCAGGGACGGCGAGAGAGAAACCTAATCAACACACTGGTACTCTACTTAGGGGAAACCGGTCAATCACTTCACTACGGAAGCTGTTCGGGATTTTATAGACAGAAGAGCACAAACAACTGCATGAGTATGGATAATTGCACACTGAAAGAAGAGGGGGAAACAAATGCAGTACAGGAAAAATAGGTAACGTAAAGTGCCCATGCCCAGATACCAGTATTCCCAATTCGTCTGGCTCCCCAATACCACAACCATCTTCCACCATCCACTACCACAACCATCTTCCACCATCCACCCCCACGCCATGGATTGAGCCGGGTATGATTTAATAGTGATAAATGAAACTAAACTCTCCGGGGGTAGTCTCGTATCGCCTATAACACTTTTTCAGTGCGTCCTTCAATCCCTTGTTAAACGCAGGACCGCAATAGTATCGGGCGAACAATTCCTGAGCCGCCGCGTTCTTAAGAGCATAAGCATAGTAAATGGCTGTCTTGCCGGCACGATCCTTGATCAACGCGTTAGGGCTGTGTTTCATGATCATCTCCAACACGCTGGGACTCTTCCCCTCTCGAATAGCGTAGGTCAAAGGTGTGGCGCCAGACCAGTCCTTAACGTTCAACTTCAATTTGAAAGACAACACCAGCTCGAGAGTGGCCAAGGAGTCAGTGTCAATAGCCTTGTGCACAGGAGAGCTACCACTGGGGTCCAAAAAGTCATCGAGGTGCTGACCGAGACGCCAGATGGTGTAAATGACGGTCCAGTTCTTGCTAGCGATGGCGATGTCGAAGGGGCTCCAGAGGTACAAGTTACGAATTCCCAAGTCACCACCGGCCTTCATCAACTGCGAAAAGACAGCGGGGCCAGCAGATTTAGCGGCCCGGTGGAGCGCGGTCTCGTGGCGGCAATCGAGGAAATTTGGGGACGCGCCGGTCTTCAGGAGGACAGCGACTCCGGCTGGATCGTCCGCACCCACGGACTCGTGGAGGGGTGCTCCAACAGGCGGGAGCGACACGTTGAGAGTTCTGTAGGATCTGTGGCCTCCGCCAAAATCCCAAGCGGGGAAGTTTAGGGTCTGCGCCTTCGGGCATAAACGTCCGAGCAAGTCATGGTTCTTGGTGCGGGCGGCATGACGGATGCCCTCCTTGACGAGCTCTGGATGGAAAAAGATGCGGAATTCCTTGCTCACGAGGACAAGGTTGGCAATCTCTGCAACGGTGACGGCTGTGCTCTCACCCTTAACTTGCCACTGAAGAATTTTCATGAGGACCCAAGACGGCACGTTTTGGATACTCATCCTGCGCCTGAAAACACCGGTAATCTCAGCAGCACTAGCTTCTTCATCTGCCATGTCAAGTTCATCTACACGGCTCTTCTTACGGGCGGGGAGACAGGGCAGGGAGGCATCGCCAGATGCTATCTCGACATGGTGCTTTTCGCCACTCGGTCCCTGGGCAGGCCCTGGGGAAACGTGGGTCGGCTTTGAGCGTCTCGGGTGGCTCGTCTGAGCACCACCCACCTGCGGGGCACTCATCTGCGAGGCGCCCACCTGCGGGGCACACACCTGCGGGGCGCTCACCTGTGAGGCGCCTGCCTGTTGGACCGGAATAGATGGGACTTCAGAGCGCACCGTCATGACCCGGGGGTTGAAGAGCCCCTTTGAATTTGTATAGGGATTGTACGGCAGCATGTTAAGGAATTTACCACAAATGAACCACTGCGTGGAAGTATAACGACAGTGACAAGAGAGCGGGTACTAAAAGAACCACCGAAGGTTCTTAAGAAAGAGGGAAAGAGGAAATTGACAAGAGAGAAAAGGAGTGCGTATCGGCGTTGGTCGAGTAGCGACTGGCAAAGGACGGGGAGGGGAGGGCGAGAAAGGACCAAATGACCAGGTTGTTGCTTCCAAGGAAGTTGGTTGATGTGGGACTTTGGCGTTTTATATGACCACATTTTCGCCTAGCTACCTTTCTATGGAACTCTGAGGCATCCAGAATAACTAGGGCATGGCAGCTCACTCTTGGCCTCCATAAACCTAGCTTAATTGGGTCCTCAAGAAATTCTGTTGCTATGATATCTAATAAATACATTTGTTCTGTGGGTCGGGATTTTTAACATGTATTAGCTCTAGAATTACCACGGTTATCCAAGTAGCAAAGGTACATCATTAAACGATAACTGATCTAATGAGACATTCGCAGTTTCACTGTACTGTACTGTACTGTACTGTACAGATTGCTTATGCTTGGGCATGCAAGGCACAATCTTTGAGGCAAGCATATGACTACTCGTACTAGCAGGATCAGCGAGGTAATTATCTTGTGGCGACAACCGACCCCCCAGACGGTGGGGTGCCGGGAGGCGGCGCGGACGGTCGGGCCGGGGAGGTGGCGCGGACGGTCGGGCCGGGGCCGCGGAGGTCCCGACTGGCGATCGGCCTCGGCCGTGCTGTTACCAGGACTATTGCGATGCCCGACATATGCCGGGACGCCACAAGGGGGTGCGCCCCGCGGGGCCGACTCGCTGAACTCTATATTACAGGGCAGTCCTCGAAACAGGCGGGGCAGTTGAAACGGAAACCCGACCCGCGAAGAAGGCAAGGGCAAGGATCCAAAAAATGCAAGTCACTAATATTGAAAGAGGAGAATATTCTCTAGAACTAGGGCAAGATAAGGTAGATTTAAGAAAACAAAGAACAATTGTATAATTAGAAGATTCCCTCTATGATAATCATGAGATTGTGTGATACACGCGGGTGAATAATTGTGATATGATATTACACTCCTCATACCCACCTTTTTGCCACAACTTCAACTATCACCTCACTATCAGTGGAACGCCTTTCACCCGTCTTTTCACACCATACCCGTAACTCCTCTCATTCAGCAGCCCTCACCTCAAGGCAAAACTGGGCATGGCGCCTCACACGTGTCTTTGCTAATACCGCCCTTTACAGTAGAAACCAGGAAGTGGTCACTATACGGTGGCACTAAATATTGTATCATACATTGCACTATAGAAACCTGGAGATTGAAAGAAAAATTTTATATTCTTGGTCATGTATGTGCCCCTTTTTTCCCCTCCAATTGTGCAGTCTGGCGAGGTGCGTCTTTGCTGACATAAAATATCATATCACCTGCAACTCACTTGCTTACCGGGATCAAAGAAATCCTACTTTTCCAATGGAATATTCCATCCGGAAAGGGACTTATCTGTCCAAGGGAACATCCTGTTGGCTAGGTGAAAATCCTTCCCCGCGGGGTAGAACGCATATATAAGAAAATTAGGGTATTGAATTTTCCTTTTGACGCAGTTTAGCTAGTGTATATGTCCAGCTCTCTCGTATTTGGGGGGGGGGGTCTGATTCATCATCTAGAGCTAGATCTGCCCCGAAACCAAAGACACCAGTTGACCTAATCCACCTCCATTAGTCTCACCGACACCGCCAGGCACTGGTAATGGAGAATTTAAATGAGTTAACTTTTTGATGTTCCCGGTCTCCATTCTTTTCATAGCTCTATCCCCCTTAGATACCCTATGACAGATCCCATGCTCTTTCTCGCTACCCCAGCACCCTCATACAGCAGCAGTGCCACGCAGCCAATGAACTGGTCCGGACGTGGGCAATTAGCAGTTAGTCAAGTTTTTCGAAACTAATGATGAAGCAGTATATCACATCTTTTTACAGAGCTCGAGACTCATGATATTCTTTCTCTGACCGGAGCTTTTGAACGATCCTACCGGAGGCCAATCCATTTACAAAAAAATGGCGGTCTTACCATCATTACTGCTATAAATATTGCAAGAAGAATCCACGGCACATCCAGGTGCAATGAAACCCTGGGGTATTAGAGTAAGCCCCACACAGCCAATCACTCGTGCTATAATCCAGCGCCTCTTTTCAAAATAAAGACAACGGTTCGCTCATTAATTGTATTCAAACCAATTCCTGATCCCTCACAAATCAACTTCTCCAGAGGGTCATTTCACCGCTTCATCCCCATCCCTTGCATTCAAGGGACAAGTCCTCAAGCATATCTAATTGTTGTTCGGTCTTGGTACTTGCACAGTACAGTACCTGCATAGTGGGATGTCGTGGCGTGGGTTAGGGTTAAGTTGAAACCGTGCCTGGGCCGGACGTAAGCTAGCTGCTCAGTTATCCGGAGTTCGCTGGCCGCCACGTGAGTCTGTCATAGATTTGTATCATGCTGGCTGCAACGCTGACTGGATCCTTTTGTTGTTGATGCTTCCCCGTCAAACTGCGGTGAGGTTGTATGGCAGTGCTGGGAAACTACTAATACAAACAACCCCCTACCATCATCGCCTTCCTTCCCCTTCCTTTCCTCCTTTCTCTTCTTCTTTCACCGTCCACTCATGTCTTCACCCTCACAGTCTCCTCTGCCGTCTATCATTACTGAGCGATCCCCAGCACCGTCTACCTTTTCGCAACTTGGACCACAAGACGATGCCCCTGAAACACCACTATCGCCCATCGCGACCCCTCCGGCTCCGGCATACATGATTATATGGCGATGGATGCAAGGCCCTAACCCTCCCAGAGACGTTACTTTCACACCGTTCTTCGCCAAATGGCAAGACCTACCATTACGTTTACTCTACCGTGGTCGATTGAAGCGGAGGAGATGGCAATTGGCTCTGCTACTGCTCTTCTGGTTCGCCTGGTTGGCGACTTTCATCACTGTTATTCATAATTCTAGGTTTATATCCAAGGTGAATGGGCAGGATCCCTACTTCCTCAGTTGTGCATCGGTATTGTGGTAAGTTCGCTTCTCCTCTTTTCAATTTCCTCTTTCGATTCGTCTGATGTCTTGTCTCGCTCCTGTTTTGTTTTCTCGGATGATCCGCAATGGTTCCCGGTGAACATTTTTTGTCTGATGACTGGTGTCTAGGTCGAAGAATAACTTATGTGGGATCAACGGCGAGTATTGCCGACCATTCGCCAACTCCACCGCATCATTCCGATGCCCTGCTGGCTGTCTAAGGACTAACGTGCTTAACCCGCGCGCGGTTGGCGAACAGATCATTGCCTATCGACCGTTGGTCATTGGTGGGCCTTCCGGTAACCCTAGCGATGGGTTATTCGAAAATGCGGTTTACCGGTCGGATTCGTTCATCTGTTCTGCCGCTATCCACTCTGGACTGATATCCAATCGGTATGGCGGATGCGGGGTATTTTCACTTGCTGGTTCGCAAAGTTACTTCCCGTCATCGAAACATCATGGGATTTCCTCAGTCATGTTTGACGCGACATTCCCATCCTCCTTCAACTTTCTCTCCGGGGCAAACACATCTCACTGCTACGACCTCCGCTGGCATCTCCTCGCCGTATCTCTCCTCTTCACAATCCTCTCCTCCCTCTTCATTACCTCCATTCCCGTCTTCTTCGCATCTGTCTTCACAGGAACCTTCTTCCACGTAGGCCTAGCTTCGGACCCGCCTTTCTCCACGAACCCTTACGAACTAATCTCCATCTCTCTTTCCCGTTTCCTCCCCGCCGCCTTCTGCGCTTTCGTGATATACAAATACGGGGTAGCCTACACCTTATCCCTCTCTCGCTACCACACAATCGAGAAGGCCCTCCTCTGGCTCTCAGGCCTCTGGACCGGTGCGCTGAACAACATCACCCTCGACCCAATAATTCCTATATACCGCTTAACTGGTCGCGACCTCCGCCAGCAGCCCAACGCAATAACGGCACTGGTAATCGTAGTCCTACTCCTACTCATAATAGTCATCTTCCAAGCACACTTTTTCCGCCTCACCGGCCGAATGCCGAAATACCTCCTGACATACGCCGGTTTCGGCGTCAGCCTCTCCCTCCTCGCAGCGATCCCCGGCTCCGCGCTGCGCATACACCACTATATCCTCGCCCTCCTCCTCCTTCCCGGTACCCGCCTGCGCAACCGAATGAGTCTCTTGTACCAAGGTCTCCTCATCGGACTATTCATTAACGGCACGTCAAGATGGGGGTTCGCCGGTATTGTGGAAACCCCGGAATCCCTCCGTGGCCGAGACGGTCTCTACTTCTCCACTATACCTCGCCTCGTCACGCCCGAAATTCCCCCTGCAGGCAACAATATTACGTTTTTCTGGGAAGACGTGAAGACTCGTGGGTGGGAGGAGGGCGTTAGCGTAATCATCAACGACGTGGAGAGATTTCGCGTCGATGGGGTTTCCGGTGCTGTTACTTGGAACAGGACCAGGACCGCGGCGGGCGGTTGGGAGAAGGTGTATGTTCGCGTGGGCTACTGGGGCACTGGGGAAATGGGGGATTACACCGCTGCTGGGGTGGTAGAGGAGGATGGGACATGGAGGGCGCCGAGGGGTGGGAGGACCTGATGAGGATGTGATTTATTTTTATTTGGGGAGTTCTATTTGTTTTTTTTTCTTTTGGGGGGGGCAGCAATATTTAGAACTAGAGTTGCTGGTTCAACCTTGTAAGGGATAGATCACGCATTGAGAATTACAGCTCGGCCAAATAGTAGGCATGAGTGTGGTGCTGTGTTGGCAAGAAAATATTGTACAATTTGGCTAGCTAGTTCCGGCCAATAGTCTGAATACCATTTCTAAAGTCAGTGATAAGAAATTCCTCAAAAGATTGTGATAAGAAGCCTTTAATTCCCTTTGAGCGACTTCCGATCTACCTTCTCACTCTTCCGCGTCCACTCTGATACTATTCCCCGATAGTCTCTCGGAGAATAAGTTCCAAACCACTCGCTAACCCCACCTTTTCTCCGTCGATTAAGACCTAAATCTCCAACGAGCGTGTCCAAATACTACGGAATGTAAGAGCAGGTTCATGCAAGGAGCCTTAGGAAGATATGAATGAGGGAAGGGAAAAAACTCACAGGCATAAACTCAAACGTAAGATTAGCGCACTTCTCCCCGAGATTCAAATACCTCCTCTTCATCCAAACATTCACTTCGGCCACTTCCTTCTCCATTTCCCCCTTCTTCCCCTCTAGCGGAATACGCCCATCCAGATAGGCAGTCGCCCATAACGCCTGCAGCTCCGCGATCATGCCGGTTGCAGGAGTATGCGTCAAGCCCACAAACACGAGTGTGTAATCACCCACATCCGCCATGGCGGGCGGCGCGAGGAGACGGTAAACCCGGTATGGTGTATTACTCCGCCGGATAGGATTGTATGGCGGTGGCATGGATAGTAATGGGAAGAGGGATTTTATCTTATCTTCGGCGGTTGATTCGAGGGCTTCCCAGTGCTCCGGCGAGCTTTCTTCAGGTACCGGTACGCCGACTCGCAGGGCTAATTCTAGGCTGCCACGGGCTAGGGGTGTAGTATCCCGGATCCAACCGGTGCACCATATGTGCGCATCCGAGGGGAGGGAGGTGCCGTTCGCTAGGCGGATGGTCGTGCCCTCTATGGAAGTTATTCTTGTCCGGTGGATGGTAATGAGGGAGTCCGGAGCGTGGAGGTGGGTTAAGAAATCGGGCTGAGAGATAACTCCTGATGGAGCTGCGCCCGACCAGAAGCCACTGGATTGAGATTAGCATGGTGTGAATTGGCGCGTAAGGGAATGGAGGAGAGTGTCATTTACCCCATTTCACCAAGCTCTGGAACCAATTTCCGGCCATTCTCGGAGGTGTACATGCCATGTTTCTTCATGACGATGTTGTTTAATGTCTTCCAGTACGTCTTTACCATCCACCTTCCCACCGATGTCCCATGTAAAAATTTGGAGGTCATTGTCTCAGAATTATAAATACATGGACTCAAAGCATTGAATAACCGCTTTGATGCCAACAGCGGGGAGGTCTTCCCCAGTGCTTTTGCGGAGAACATTGACTATCCCTTGTCAGCTTCTACCCACTTCATTGGCACCAGAGACCAACGTACGCTAACACTCTGACCTGACTCCCTAATGATCCAATCAACCTTCTTGCCCGCAGCAGCACACATATATGCTGCGTCGAAGGCACTTTTGCCTCCGCCGTATATAGTTACCCTTTCAACCCCCTGTTTGTCACTTTTCAATGTCTCCTGCCACTTCTTCAACTCCACCGAATGGAATATTGTCATTTTCGGGTCCATGATATGAATGTCCGTAGGTATAAACGGCATTGATGTCAAGCCAGTTGCCATAATCAACTTCTCGCACCTAACCTCATCTTCCCCTTCACTTTTCCTTGCCAACTTCAGTATCCATTCTTTCGTATCGACATCTCTGTCAATACTATCAACCAATGCCTCGAACACAATTCTACTTAAGAGATTATATTTCTCGGCGAACTTGACCAGGTAATTCGCCACATCTTCACCTCGTATGTAGCCCTCCGCAGTTGGTGCACCTTCCAGTGGTGTATCGGAAACCTCAAGCGCACCCGCAGCGTTGTGTGTTACTAGACCATCGTAGACGCGATCTTGGGACCAAGTCCCTCCGATCGTTGTTGATGATTCCAACAGGAGTAGTGTATGTGTAGGGTTTACTTGTAGGTATGTTTTTGCAGCAACCAGACCAAACCACCCTATTCACTCCGTTAGCTAAATCAACTTCACCACTCCACACAATCCGGGTGAGAGCTTGCCTGCGCCAACAATAATAACTTTAGGCATTCCGTAAGAGCTTTCAGGGCATTCGAGCAGGAGGATTCTCAATACTGTGCTATGATATCTGCCGAGAGGGGGGGAAGACTGGTACTTGTATAAGGTACTGTACTTGTACCGGTAAGATAAGAAACGAGAAAAGACGTGTTTCGGTGTGGAGCAGGTGGGACGGGATGGGGATTCACCAATAAGTTAGATGACCCTCACCGACAAGGTTCCCAGGTTCCCGACAGGGGTGCATTCGTCGGGCCCAAATATAGGGTCCGTGTACGGTACTCGTACCTGTAACCAGCGGCTTATTCCGTTACCGGGCCCATGGCCAACGGGGATGAGCCGGCCTAAATGCCGCATTGTCTGGAAATATTCTCCTGCCGCTACGGTATGGTACCGGTACAAGTGGGTTGAAATAAGGTACTCGAATACACTGCCGGTCCTTGTATGATACCTGTAAAGGGGCTGGAGCAAACCGTCCGACAGGGTGGTCAGGAGGAGTCCCAGAGAGTCTTTGTCTGGGCCCGTAAGGTGTTAAACGAGGCGCTTTATTCCAAGTTCCAACATATCATGAGGAAGACTCTTTGTTCTAGCTTCCAGCGGATCCCTCCAACAATGCAGTAGCCCAATGCCCAATGCCGGTAGGTACAAGTACTTGTGGGCGATTATTTAATCTACCCACTCCGAATCCACAAACCGATATTGAACTCTGACACCGTAGTTCGCTCGAGGTTGGGGGGTTCTATCGTACGGTATATGATATCTAAAACCCAAACTACCGCTTATCTCAAGCAAGTCATGTACGATACGGTTGGAGTGCTCGTCTAGGTTCCCGATACCAGGAATTAAAGAAATATATACAGGTACCGGGACGGTAAAAAAGTCAGCGCTTATCTTTGCCCAATGCAGAGTTTGCCCCCTTGCTTCGAATACCGTACTCTCTTGCTAGGGACAGGTACTCGAGTACTCTACAGTTCCCATGTACTCGTGCCTGGTACAAATACCAGGTACTATGTACTAGTACAGGACTACCGTACTCGAGTAGTGGATGTTTAGGCGCCCCTAGCAGCGGCGTGGGGGGGAGCCTGGTAAACTACCGGTATGATAGGCTTCATTGCCGTGCGGCTGGCTGAAGATGCATGAGACGGTAATTGTTCTAGTCGTACAGTTTGGTGGGGGCAAGGGGCGGGATTGATATGGTTGGTACCGTACTCAAGTACCGGATGGTGCTGAGCCCTCCAGGTCGATTGATCTGGATTTAATACAGGGACCTCAGTTGCTCGGTAGTAGTGATAGCACTTGTACCGGTACTCTAGTACTCGAGTCCAGGTGTGCCTAGCATTTGGAATCCTGCTCTTTTGTGATGTTCCGCCCAGACTCTAAACTCTGGCTCCACAGTTGTGGTGAGGGAAGTGTCGTGGTTTGTCCCGAGATCACGGATACCGGTAGCGGATGGTCTCCTGAGACTGGACACCGAACGGCTGGTGAAGGATCGACTACCGGTACCGGTACAGAGAGAATCGCGCTCGCGGGGAGCCCCTTGACCCATTTACATGTACCAGGGTGGGGGTGTGCTCGAGTGCGGGTGATGTTGGGACAAGCAGGGGTATGTACCATCTGTGCAAATGTATGTATGTTAACGGCAAGAGGAAAAGAAGAATATGAGGAATGCTCTACAGTACTAGTACTATATCTAGTTTACAGTATCCCCAAAGCTTTCTAGTTCTTTCCTATCCTGTAGCAAGACAGTAGTCTAGTTTGATTAGCCATTGGAAAGCAGGTGGTCTGGCCTATTGCCATATAATTCCTTTTTCCCAAACAAGATGCACAGACATTAACACCCTGGTTTGTCCCAATACTTTACCCCTACCCCGAGCACTCGAGTACGGTACCGGTATGATACACGAAATTCCCGCTTCTTCATTACCCTCATGGATGGTCAATTCTCGCATCGTGACGATTCTTCTTGTTTGCCGTTCTTTATCCTGGACTTGATCCATGCTTGCATCATACGAGTACATTTGATCACAGGGAACCTCGCCACACCATTCGCTGAATGGTGGGAAAAAATTATCGGGAGGCCGCATTAGGGAGTCTCACTGGGCTGGTTCATATCTGGGATATGTGCTACCGATACGGTGCTGTCTGTGTAGTGCGCTTCGAAGGGGCCCGTCGTGGTAGGTGGTGAGACATCTTGGTTCACAATTCAATTTCGCTGCTGGCTTGACAAGAATCATAGACAAGAGACTACGAGTACAGTAATTGTGTGAAGAGAAAGGTGGGGTTGTTTCGCTGGTGATCCAAAGTACCAGCACAGGACGCTTTTATCATAGCCACCAGACCATCTTGCAAACCACCTCCAGAGCCGGTACTAGTACTACAGATTATTATTCCAGCTCGCGGTCCGTAAACTATGAATCTCCTGTTTGAACCGCACAGAACCAGGGTGGTGAGACTCCCTACTATTTTCCGGTTTGACTGACCCTGTAGTTAAGTAGCGACCTGGTTCCCGCCAAATACCCGTGGGTATGGGCCTTGTAGCAGCTAAGGCAACGATCAACTAGCACTCGCTGTGATCTAGAGTAAGTCTGGCATAAACGATCCTCGGGATGGGCATGGTGTATTGGGCTCTTCTCTTGCATGTGTTGTACGTTGTTTTGTGTGTACCGGCAGCAACCCTGATAGTATTGTGAAGATGGAGGAGAGTAGTGATGTTGAGGGTTTGTGGACCTAAGGGTCAGAGGTGATTGTGTTCTCACATTGTGTTGTCTCCTGTATTTAGACAGCTCACTTACACCTGTGAACAACAGTGAAGTTCCATCCCCTCACTACCACATTCGTCCAACAGCGTGATGAGTATTGGAGCGGTATCCCGGGATCTGTCGGCAGGCGGCGGCCTGTAAACTGCTCCAGGTGGTGGGGAGGACTGACCTAAATTCCCTTGATTCCTGATGATAAACTCGGGAAAGAGCCACAGGACGGCAGCTCGAATATCCTGAGTCGGTCACTACCAGTACCTTTAATGCTTGAGTGGGGGTTCCAAGCTCTAGATACACCAACATTGAGAGAGATATATTTTTGAACCACAAAATCAATTCTCCAGTTACCAACCAAGGTACGCCCCCAGGCCACAGAAAGAACCAGCCAGAGAAAACAGTTGCTAAAAATCTCTTTTTTTTTTTCGAGAAAGTACAAAGTGTATCATACTAATTTAAAGTTGTACCGAGAAAGTTAATTTCCCTAGTACTAATGTTGTATACGGTACAGGTACGGTACTAGTATCGTACCCAGAGTATGATACCAATTGAGACTAAGGCGGACTTAGTGCAGCGCCGGAAGCGTACCATCGTGATAAAAATATAGTGCTAATGCACTAATGTATTGCTTAACTGGAACTTACCAATACCGGTATGCGACATTAGGGCACCAAGCTATTGTATATGTGTAAACAGATCAGTCTATGACAATGACAGCGGGCTGATAAAACCATCCCCCAATAAGATACTAGACATGAGCTTTATTATACCCCTAAGACCATCGATTCCTCCCAGCCCATTCTACTCATATTGGAACACCTCACAATCAGGGTGTCTGAGGCTAGCGAACCTCCAGTCCCCAAAACAGGCAAACTGTCTGCAGGACCGACAACCCGACCACTCGCACCCTAGCTTCACAGTATCCAGAAAACCTCCATGAGAGGGTCTATATTGTACTATTAGAATACTTGTCTGACACTGCTCTGCTACTGGTGAGGGATACTGGTACAATGAATAGCCATAACTAGGAGAATGCTATCAAAATTTCACTTGTCCAATGGAATCTGAGCACTTGTTTTTTTTCTTTTTCTCCATGGCTGCTGAGTGTTGGCGACCTTGTGACTGAGGAAGCAGGTGGTTGACCCATTAGCCTTGTAGCTCTAGTGACATTGCCTATGATATGTTCTTTATTTGAGGCCGTTAGATTTTGGAAAGTGCCCCAGCCAACAATCACATTTCAGTCTTTGATATTAAGCGTCTCAGGAAGGCATGGGGTTCCACTGCCCATAGAGCTCTTAAGTCTATCTTTGATGTGAATTCTTCCCTGCAAGTTAATCAAGCAGTCCAACTAATGAAACCCCTTCAGGCAATAAATCCACTGGCGACTGATTCTCTATCACCTTACCACATCCCCCAGCTTTTCCTTCTCGAGCAATATGCTTAGTAGCTCCCCATCGAGGGTACCCCTACTCTGTCCTACAACTAAACTCATTGGAAGCGCCAGTGTATGAGCAGCCAGAGTTTGAAAATAAGGTGGTCTGGAAAGATGTGCGGAGCCAGGTAGATTGATCGAGTGTTTCTTTCTTGATTGTTTGCCCCTAAAACTGTCCTCCAGGTACTAATAGGTAGTTGTACATTTTGTAATTACCCACTACATTGAAGCCATACTTCCCATAAAGCTCAAATTCTCGTTAAGAGTGATTTCACATGATTCCAGTCTGCGCATCTAGATGCCCTTATCATGAGACTTTAAAGTTGGGCACGGGTCAGGGGTGTTTTAGTGCCCTTATACTATATATTTTCAAAATATGCGGGCTGGCGTTGAGATCCTTTTCTATTCTCGGCCAAAGCCACCTTCTTTCACCCTCAATATTCCTGTTACGACCACCCTTTTAAATATAGTGACCCTTTTGTTAAGAATCATCTATCAATTCCTAAGAATTCTCTTCTAATCAACCGTCGCACTTGGGCCCGGACGAAGAGAAGGAAAGGGCAAAATAGTCAGGCTTGAATAACCACTATTAATGGACAATGACCAATATTTATAAATTCCTTGAGTTTTCTTGAAGATATACTCTCCGACTATGGGGCCCTCCTTAGCCGCGGTAGGAGAGCCAATACCAGTCTATATCTACCCGCCCGTCTATGTATGATACCTTAACAAAATCTCTAGCCACCTAAACCCCTGTGGTACACTAATCCTCCGAATTCCCTTCCTGCATGTAGATTAATACATGTTTCCCCTTGCTGTATAGAGTTCCTCTTGTTCCTCCCAAGGCCTGGAGGTAATAGGGTTGTGCTGACAGTAAGCTATGGTTGATATTATATCATAATATTATCATACAAATTGATATTCCATGAGGCTACATTTCCTCCCCATACCTGCCACTAGCCCCATCCCTCATCCCATAGAGCACAGTTAATACCTAAATACTGATGAAACCAGAGCGCAGTAGGCAAAGCAATATGAGTTCGTATATTATACGCATGTATCTTAATCAGTACTCCATGAGACCGAGCGCCAACTCGCCCAATTTAGCTATTTGTGCGAAGGCAGTTTTCTCATTCCTTGAGGATCTTAGGGCATGTAAAGGGAATGATCGAATCTACCCACTCTAATGGATTAGCGTTCTGGGATTCAGTTGCGAAATTCTTTGGCAGACATTGGTAAATGGCTAGATTCCTTGTCCGGTATACTTCCACCGTAGGGCTCCGATGGGTAACTGTGGGAACAAGTATTGTCACCGTATGCTAGAAAAAAATGGGCGAGTGAGTGAGAAAACCCTCAACCATATCCAAAAGTATGAGTTTTTTATGGAGGCTCTGTTTTGAGTATCTGGAATTTGCAACTCTGGAAATTTACGCCCCCAGGAAGTCATCTAATATTTTTATCGAGTCTGGGTAATATCATACACTGACAAATAATTGGTTGAAACTTAACCCCATTACATCAAAACCCAATGGAACGTCTTCCCTTCTATCATACTACCATGATACATTACTACCTTCGAGTCCAATATCTCACGATCCAAGCTCCCACTAGTTCATCCACTCACGTAGTCTGCCTCCCCCATTTTCACCGGGAAAACAAATCCTTAAACAGCTCTTTGAACCCGTAGTTCGGCTTCGCACTGTCATACACCGCCACATTCTCTGAGGTTCCCAATTTTCCGAACAACGCGCCAGGGCCAGAGCCCCTCCGGGAATCAGCAACCGCCTGGGGCGATATCTTTGCCCGCTCCCGAATCTCATTCGCGATCAGCGGGGCTGTATCCCGGAAGCAGATCTTCATCTCTCTCTCTAAGGTAAAGTACGGTTTCTTAGCAAGCTCGGGAGCCATAAGGTTATAGCTTCTTGTGATGGAATTGAGGTTCGCTATGGCGAGTTTGTGATACTGAAATTTGGTCTTTTCCCATGTTGGATCTCGAAACACTGCTGTTTCGCTGCTTCCGTTGGTGGCTTCCTCATCTAAAGGGTCTATTTCCTCGCCTCGTTCGAGTTTTCTCGTTTGGTCTTCGATCGTTGCTAAGCGTGCTTCACTAGCTGCGTACTCTTCCGCTCGTCGGCACTGCTCATCAACACTTCCCCCCGCGCTGGAGATTATCTTAGAAACATGTTGTTTCCAATCTGCCCTCAGCCTCACGCGGAATACTCTCACTGCCCTAGCAATCTCTTGCTGTTTCTCTATCCACGGTGGGACAATGTCCTGCTTCTGTATAATCCGATTCATGAGGTACTCTGTCGTATCCAAAAATGGTGAATCAGCGTTGTGATCCCGTTCCAATGGCTTCCCTCTTGGTAAATTCTTGAATTGGCCCCTAGCGCGGGCCTCCTTAATCTTTTCATCAGCAAGCGAAGCAATAGCATTCAACGAAGCGACAGCCCGTCCCTCGGGCATGAACCTCTCGCGGAACATGTTCCGAACTTCAGACCTTTCGTTTCCAGATAGTGCACCGGACTTATTCAAAGTGTACTCTGTTGTTTTCTCTCGGGCATCGGCAATCCTTTGAGACGCAGATTGGGGTCCGGAGGCGCGGGTGGGGCGGAGGTCCACATTGACCGGCGCAGGCGGTTTGCCCCGGAGAGGTTTGTGGGTGTCAACGAGCATACGGAGAACGGCATCCTCGGTTGACTCTGTACCTGTCCATGGCGCAGCGGCTGCGATGTCCCGGACCTGTTTTGGAGCCCCGGCTGGGAGGCTTACCGTTGAGAGAACTTGTGCGTGGGTGGTGTTAAACTGGGCCTTTGCTATCCGCTCCTCAAACTCTCGTTTTAGGTCTTCGGAGAAGGCATTCTCGGAGGCAATTTTCGCAGCTTTGCGGGGCGAGGAAGTTATGGCTTCCTCAGCCATTTCCGTGAAACGCCGTGAGAGCGCGGACTCCCCATCTACACGAAGGGGATCTTTGCCATCCCCGTCATGAGATTTTGCCGATCGTGAAGCTTCCCGTCGCTGGCGAGGGCTGCAAGCGGCGGCGTCAATGCTTGGGACTCGAAGAGAACTGCAATGATGGCGAGGGCGGCCGCGAACGATGTTTGTGGAGCAGCCAAGGATAACTCGATTCAATGACATAGGAGATCACTGTAGATATTGTGATTCCGCGGGCGACGTTTCAAGTAGGGTGAGAGGAGGAATATCACAATGGAGGGGATATAAGTTAAATTAAGCCCAAGACGGGTCAATTTTTTTTGATCCTGCAACCCCTTTGGCCCCACCAACCCAGGACAACTGCCCCACCAAATTTTCATGTGCCTCCCTTAACAACCTGCTGTACCAGTACCGTACGAGTACTCGACCCGGACTGTACAACCGCGCCCCCACTGCTTCCCAATAACCAACTATGTCAACCAGAGTCTTCTCAGCAGACGAAGCCTTCAATGCTTTTGCCCACTGGCTAATTTCACACGGCGGTTTCATTCACGAGTCTTTAACCTTCACTCCTACAGGTCAGAACCTCCTGATCCTAGAACGGAAAGTGGAGCTAATTACTCAAATTTCCAGTGCCAGACTCCCGATATGGTTCACGCGTAACAACGTGCTCCGACATACCACCGCATTCCCAATTGATCAGCTGCCCTCACACCCTAGCCATAAATTATGCGAAAGCTCGCTCCACGTTTTCTGCTGACTTCATCTCCAACACCACTCGGCATGCAGCCCTTTGTATGTTTCTCTGCATGGAACGGTTGAAGGACAAGGAATCCTTCTGGTGGCCGTATCTCCGTATCCTGCCGAGGGAATTCGATACTCCACTATATTTCTCTGACGAAGATTTTAAGTACTTACAGGGTTGTAACCTCGAGGTTAATGGGGTGGAAGCGAGAAGATTGGTATGGAGGGAAGAATTTGGGGCCGCAGTAGCCACTCTTCGGGGGGAAGGATACGAGACAGAACACTGCACATGGTGAGGCCTTCCTATTACCCATTAGACTTCCGCCGGGCTGAAATGTGGTTGAGAGCGTTGAGGGAATTATACTTGTGGGCTTCTACCATTTTCACGTCTAGGAGTTTCTCTGGGAAATTGATGAACTGGGACCAAGAAACTATTCACGAGGACGATACCATGCCGGTTTTGTTCCCACTGATAGACAGTTTGAATCACTACCCGATTACAAAAGTTACCTGGCAACCTAGTGATACCTTCCTGAGAATCATATCTGGGGCAGGGGTTTCTGCGGGAGCAGAAGTGTACAATAATTACGGTCCCAAAACAAACGAAGAGTGTACTCATCCTACCCCACTCTCCCCAATATATCTCTGCAGTGCTAACCATCGCCAGTACTAATGGGTTATGGATTCACCCTCCTCCAAAACCCCTTTGATACTGTCCTCCTCAAATTCTCCCCGCCCCTCACCCCATCCCAACACTCCCTCTTTGGCATGTCACCCACAGGCCTCTACCACCTGACCCCTCGCAACCGCGCCCCGGAGAATCCATCCATCTACCCACCCTCGCTGCTAACCCTCATATACATTCTAACGAGCACCCCAACTGAAACCTCCCACATTCCCACCGCCCGGCCAACCAAACCCGCGACCAAGCGAAACGAGATATCGACACACATAACCCTCCTCCAAGCCCTCCTCCGAAAGCACCAAAACTTCCCCCCGACGCTCCCGGAACCACGGAACTCAAAGCAAGCCTCGGCAAAGATATACGCCGACAGTCAACGCTCCCTAATCCTCTCCGCGATCGCAGAATCAAAGGACATCATAAATTCCCACACCGCCACCAGTATAATACGCCTGCAATCCGCCCTGGGGAGAGGAGGAACAGACAAGGCTTTCCCAGCAGCGATTGAATCCTGCTTCGGCAGCGCTGATGTAGAGGAGCTGGCGGAGGCTGGGCAGGAAGATGTTGTGTTTATACTATACCTCTGCCACTTGTCACTCACCCAGCAGGGTTTCCGGCTACCAGCGTGTCCAGCCAGCTCACAAGAAGCCACTCACTCTGCGCGGGAGCTGCACGAAGAGTTATTCCCCACAGCAGCGAACGCGGCGCCGGCAGTCTTTGGCGGGGAAGGGTGGACGGTGGAGCTTTTGCGCAGGGGCATGGAAGCGTATGCCGATATGGGGATTCGTTTCCCGGAAGTTGAAGGGTTGGCGGTGACCGGGGAGTATGCGGTTTGTCTCGAGTGAGGGGTTGTGATGGAGCACCATCATCACAATATATATCGCACCTGTGCATCTCTTATCTATCCCAAGGCAGCCCGGGACGGAGTGTATTAGCATGATTTTTATTGAGTTCCTGTACAGTACAATAACATTGTTGAAAATCACCTGCTCTAACTTGGCCTATCCCGATCAAAGATGAACTGAAAAGAAAAGAAAAAGCGCGGTATCAATTAGAAAATATCCCGTATCCCATTCCGTCAGAGTTTCCCCCTTTTTTCTTCCCGCAATTGAAGGAAAATAGGAAAAAACTACAACCAATCGACAAGCAACCCCTCCTACAAGGAACCTACTAAACGTGTGCGGGCGAGGTAAATATAGTTAGGGAACGATCAAGAGTTAAGCAAGTCTCCAGACCTTTTTTTTTTTCTTCTCTCCTCAGACCATTAACGCATCTAAACGCCCCTCAACGTTAAGTGGGGAGTGGAGGCGTAGAAGAGGAGAGGTAAAGAAATATAGGGAGAAGAAATATAGGGAGAAAAGAAAAGAAGAGAAAAAAGTTGGGTGAAAAGAGGTAAAAAAGTAAAAAAAAAAAAAAAACTGCATTACAAAACATGGCTCCACCTTCACAAAAAAATTCTATTTCCACCCTCCCCCCCGGTCCGCGCGCCGCAGTAACCTTAATCCCATCTACTATTCCCTGTTTACTATTTCCTTCCTCTGATACCTGCGGCACCCGGAATACCCAACGCCCTCCCCACAATATCGATCATACAATCCAGACAACCACTGCCGTAGATGGATCACAGGTCGATCAAATTCCCACCCTGCGGTTTTTGTTGCGGTTGTCCAAAACCGGAAGCGTACGGATCCGGCTGTTGTTGTTGGCCAAAACTACTAGTACCATACCCGTTCATACCAGCAGGACCGGTGTGGGAAGGCAGGAGCCTGTTAGGCTGCGGGGAGAGCGAGTTCCCGAACCCGGTGGACTGTGGGACTCCTGTGAACTGCTGGTTAAAGAATGGGTTCGTTCCTGTACTCTGGGGGGCGAGTGTTCGACCAGTGCGGGATGTTCCTGCGGAATTTACAAAAGTGCCAGGAGCGGTATGTTGAGCTGGGATACGGAGGTTGCCTACGTTTCCGTATGTATCCAGCCCGTTGTCGTTACCTGCCGCGAGAAGGCTTTCCAGGCGGGCGTGCTGTGGATTGATTGGTTTCTCATTTTGCATAGACTGGTTATGGAAAGAGAGTTGTTTGTAAGCCTGCGCCTGCTGCTGCTGCTGAAGTTGGAATTGCTGTTGCTGCTGTTGTTGTAATTGCTGCTGCCTCTGTTGCTCTTGTTGCTGTTGTTGCTGTTGTTGCTGTTGTTGCTGTTGTTGCTGCTGCCGTTGCTGCTCTTGGAGTACACGCATCGAGTCTAAACTAGGCATGGGTGGAGCCGTCGCAGCGTTGAAATTGCTCATCTTTGGAGCGAATGGATTATTGGAGCCAGTAGGCAAAGGCTGGAGAGGTTGAGCAGCTGGGCCATTGGCGTACGGGTTGTTATCCCCAGGTTGCATGAAGTTTGTCTGCTGAGGACTCAAGGAAGAAGGCGGAGCATAAGAGCTAGCCTGAGCGACTCCAAACTGCATTTGAGATTGGTCATATCCAGTTGGCTGTGGGAACTGTTGTTGAGGAAATCCGGTAGGGTTTGAGTATACATTTGCCAGATAGCTAGTATTCTGCTGCTGCAACGGAGCTTGACCGATGGGATTCCCAAAGAAATCCACTTGGTCAAGCTGCTGGTACTGCTGCGATTGGTGCCCGGCAGGCTGGAACGTCCGTGGTTGTGACTGGGTGGGGGTGGCATCATCGAACAAGGAATCCGCATTGCTCTGCTCTAGCTCCTTTTGTCTAAGCTCCTCTTCTTCCTTGCTCAACTTGATTGCTTTCGCTAGATCGTCGTCAAGGTCAGGCTGTTTGTTCGCACTCCGCTTCTTGTCCTCTTCAGCCTGGTTCTTGCTTGCTTCAATTGCAAGCCTATATTCCAAATCCTCTTCATCTTGTCTGCTGCTTGTCTGTGTGCCCGAGGTCGGACGCTGGCGCCTCCGTTCCACTTCCTGGCGAGGAGGCTGACCCTCCGAGGAAGCATAATCCTCAATACCTGTAACCCTGGATTTCCAAGACTTGCGGTCTTTACGCTCGTTGCGCAAGCGGTCCTCATCCATGATCAAGGAGGTGAGCTCTTTAGCAGATATTCGGACTATTCCCCAGAGCGTCAATAAAACACTCCCGAAAGAAAAATTAAAAAACAAAGAGAGGGAGGGAGCAAGAGCTTGCACATACCATTCAAACCCTGGTCCCTTCCATCCTCATCAATAAATTGAAACTCTCTTAGGGTCTTGATAATGTAGATATTATCTTTCGCCCAGACAACAACATGTTCAGAACCCTCATGTAAACAGTAATCCAGGACCTTCAGCGCCTTCAAAACATGTCTCCAATTCTTTCCCTTATCGTTTAGCCGCTTATCCAGCATGTCCATGATCTCGAAGAATTCATGTGTTCTGGACAACAGATTAGCAAACAGGCCGCCTCCAGGACCCAGATACGTGGTAACAAAATTTTTGTCTTGGAACCGCTGCGGGGTTAGAGAGGCCCAACTCACGTTTCAAAAGTCATACGAGCGATATCGCCCATTTCTGTCCCTGTGGGACCCCATGGATCATTGCTTGTGGCTAATCGCAGACTTGTCAATTAATGGGTCGTTTCAAAGATTGATTGCAGGAGCGTGATGGTGGTGGTAGGTTACCGTTTCGAACTTTGACCTGTGTCGAAGAATAGCCTTTAGTGACATTCTTGACAGTTCTAATAACCTTCGACATGAGCGCAGCGAAACCGGTTAGCTTAGCGGCTCCGAAGGGTTGTGGTAGCACGGGTTGATCGCTCGAGGGGTCGGGATCCCGTTTATCGTAGGTGAATCGACGAGCACAAAAGAAATTTAATCCTCGCCGCAAAGAGCCGACCGGAAGCCTGACGAAAAATATAAAGATTCAGTGGAAGGAACCGCAACAGCGCACCGAGCGGACAGGATCGGGTTATTAACCTCGGTTTGAGGCGTTTGTAGTAGTTGAAGATGCTGTTGCGAAAGGAATGACAAGCGATCTAGAGCCCGGGGGTGTTGTTGTTGTCGTAGTCGTCACTCCTTTCCGGGGGCGGATTCCGGCGAGGCGATGGGCTGCGGTACCCTACGAGTACTCGTAAATTTAGTAGGCAGGGGCAAAAAAAAAAGGAAAAGGATAAGATGGGTAACAGGGCAGAGCAGAAGGGGGACAGGCAAGGTGCGGTTAGAGCGAATGAACGGTCTCCTAGGGCAGAGCTGACCACAGAAGGAGGAAAGGGTGTGTGGAAGTGCGGATTGATAGAAGGAGGGTAAGTGACAAGGAGGGGGGAGGGGGGGGCAGTGATCGAGGAAATCGTGCTGCACCTACAGACTTGATTCAAGTCGAGTCTGTGATTTCGATGAAGTTAGATGAATAAGCAATGAAGATGAGGCTGGGGGGAATGTGATGTGATATGATGTGATGAGGTTGGCAATTCAGCTTACTACAAGGAGAGTCTCTGGAGCTCTGTGAGGAGATGTGTCTCAACACAAGCAGCTGTTGTGGTAGAAGGCATGGCAAAGTAAAGGAGACGATTCACCATCCTCATCCAAAGCGGCGTGTGGCTCGCCCGGTCCCCAAATTCTAAAATTCGATCCCCTTTTTTTACTATGACACCAAGATTACAAGCACGAGTACTG